GACTGAGGCGCCCTTGAGCAAGGCACCGAACCCCCCACCAGCTCAGGAGCACTCGCTGAGGGCAGCTCCCTCACTCTGACATCTCTCCATTAGTGCATGTCCATAGGATCTTGTTTGTGCATGTGTGTTTGTGCAGCATGTCTCAACAAGTGTCAAATTGAATTTCCACTCGCGAGATTAATAATGAAGTGTATCTTCTCAAACAGAGTTATTCACTGGACTTAAGTCTTTGTGCTGTTTTTATTATGTGTATTTTCTATATGGAACTTCGTTGCAAACCAAATTGCCCCTCAAGGTCGATACATTTTTTCCAAATAAAATTATTTTTGAAAAATTGCAACGTATTATTATCAAATTGGATTAGAACTTTTCTTTGTACCAAATATCAGAAGCCAATGTCATGCTTTTCCTCTTATGCATTTCTAGCTTTACAAATGTAATGATTAGAAGGATAGACGGTAAAATGATTCAAATGTTTCTGTGAACTAACAAGGCAAATTTTCAAAGGCTGGCATCGGAGAATTCTTGAGAATATTTGTAAAACCTATAAACTTCTTAGAAAAAGAGCCGGACACATTCATGTTTTAGATCTACATGAAAGATCAAGTTTATTTAAGAACTACCTGCATACAAAACATATTGCACATCAACCAACCAGAACAATCCTTTTAAAAAAAAGAAAAAGAAAAAACATACTGTAGTTATGCTGACCCAACAAAAACTCTTGGGATGTCACAACTCTCAGCAGTCCAAATTTTCATTTTGTCTTGAAAGAAAACCCAAGGTAACGCATGTTTTAGTGTCAAGAAGAAGAGGAGCTTCTCTTGTTTTTGTCTTTTTTTAAATACTGTACATTTTTTAAATAAATAAACCAAATAAATCTCTTCCTTAGTGGAACAGTCATGACCAGTTTCCAGCCAGCCAGTCTGAGGAAGAACCATGAAAATGACATCATCGTCACCTTGACTTGGTTTCCTAGAAACATCTCAACAACAGGGCAGTCTGGTTTTTAATACTTAAACAGGACATTTGTAATGAGTGGGCATGTTGTAACCTCAAGTACAACAAACGCGCTTTCTTTTTATTTCAGCTGACTTTGAGGAGGAAACGGCACTCAGACTGTCCCGTGAGATGTTTCTGGGAAACCCAGCACTGACAGCTACATCTCTGTCCAGCAACAAACAATTAACAGGCCAGTTTTCAGACTCGACTACAATCAACTTTTTTTTAACAGAAATTGTTTCAGTGCAAAGAAAACAACTCTTCTATCGTTTGCTTCTTTTCCAGACACGCTGTAATAACATTTCTTCTATAACTGAAGTGGTTGCATATTGAAAAAACAGAAAGCAGCTAATGTTAAACTCCTCAACAGATATATTTATATATATAAAGGATAACTGGACTCATTTCCCCTCACAAACATTAAGAAGTAACACACCTGATTTTAAAAAGATATGCCTCTGAAATCCTTTCAGTTTGTTTCAGTGTTTTCCTGCAGTGCCACAGGCATACATATAGACCAAGAAGACACCTGGTTCAACTGTGGCTGCAGGCCAGGATGACCAGGTAACACAGAAATTAGTAAAAAGATTTCAGACGGTGTGCAGAGCCAGGCAACAACATGTTGAATCTACTCTCAAGGCACAACAGCTGATCAAATGTATGTCAGACATACTCGGGGGTTTCCAACAAACCTATCTGCACTGTGGTACTGCTCATGCAGAATACTTAATTTACAAACTACTTCAGATGCACAAAACATCCTGAAAAGACAGTTGTGGAAGCATCTTTCAGACTTTTTTTTTTTTAAAACCCTGCTGTGATATTTTTATTACCATTTAAAAAACAAGAACTGCTGCATTCATACCACAGTATGGTTTGAGTGGAATCCCTGTCTGCATTTTATAAATACTGCATTCAGTCCGACTTCTCCCTGAACTCTCAATGGAGAGTGGGCTGAAAAATACAGCTAAGAAGATTTCTGTGAGTGTGTGTGTATTTGACTATCTTTGGCAAGCTCATACAGGAAGAACTATTATTTTAAAAAAAAGTTGTAAATGAATTGTTGGAGAGAACACGTGTGTAAAGGGGATGTTAAGGTTCAGATCTCTGAAACTTGCACAGTGAAAAAGGTTTCAAATATTTGTAATATGTCGTGAAAAAGAATCAACAGTGCTTTGTATTTAAATGTTTTCACTTGTAAGGCTGCTTTAGAGACGGGGAGATTAAATCAAGTGCAGCCAAATAATTTCAAATATTCGAAACCATTTCCTCTCTCTGAACCCTGACTAGGAGAGTCCGTTGACCACAGGCTGAGGGCTAGAGTCCCCCTCGTAGGAGACTTTGGCGGGCCTCTCAGTGGAAGATCTGGTAGCTGTGGTGGGACTGCTGTCCTCTTGTCTCCAGCGTTGCTGCTAGAACCATTGGTGGTTGCTGGGCAGACGGCGGGCTGTTCTCAGCGATGGTATCCACCTGACCCTGAACAGAAACGCAGGAAGTAACAGTATTTAACTATTCATAAAAGGAGATTTTTTTTTTTTTTTAAAGACATACATACACCAGGTAAATACAAAGTTATGCCCATGGCTCATTCATTAGCTAAAAAGTAAATACAATCTTTCTAACACAATGCGCCTGGATTTCTTTTTATAGCTGACCTGACTTGTTTATTTATTACTCAGGCAAAGCAGTAGTGAACATTTATTTTTAAATATACATAATATTTATTTATTTAAGAAACAAACTGGCGTACATAAAAGAATAAATCGTCATTACTCCATCTTTGCGTGGAAAAGCAAATCAATCCTAATCCCCATCAATGTCTATGAAACTCTGAACAAGCTAACAAGCCAGGTATGACATGACCAGCATACCTGCGAACCAGTGCCCACAAATGTATAAAATAATAATAGAAACTCTGCAATCTGAATGAAGTGGTGACTAACTTCTTGGATAGTTAACGACACAGCAAGCTGTATGTCTGATATCAGCATGAAAACCAAAACCACCAACACTAAACACTGCCTAGATTTTTAAGGTTCATTGATTGAATCAGATTGGGCGAAACCAAACAGAAATCTAGCAATTTGTAAATGTGCATTTATATGTGAGTGTGTATGGGGATTGACTAGCTTCTGGAGTCAGCATCTAGTAGTCATATGAGGAACTGGAGTCTTTTGGACATTCCAAGTTGGCCCGTTTTTCAACTCTGGAGGTCCCAGCGTTTGTTTTAACAGGTAATAGTCAAGCTTCAGGAGCAGAAAACACTGCAGAATCTTTTTGAACATGCACTTTTGAAAGTTTCACTGTGCTCTGCCAACAGTTTGTTAACACTGGGCAGTTTAGTACTAACCACATCCTTGCTTTTCTTGGAGTCCTGGGTGTTGAGCTGTCTGCTCTGAGACTCAGCCCTGGATATGTAGTCAGCCACAGTCACTGTACAGACAACAGGAGAAAAGAAAACCACTGACGATGAAAATATCTGTTTTCTGTCTGTCTCCGCATCCACAGGGTTGAGAATTTCACAAAAAACGGAAGACAGAGAGTAGATCCGGTCTAGCAGTCTTAAGAGAGACTTTCAACACTTTCAGAGAACAGTAACGTGTTTATGGAGCCTAACTGAAGGCCTTGAACACATGACATTCAACACAACAAACACAGAGAAGTTAGAGGTCAGGTTTACTGCGACACACCAAACAAACCAGGACTGCTGTTTGTGTAGCAGCCCGACAAGATACAAAACAAAAAAAGCTGTAGCCTAGTTGTTAGTGAACAAGCCTGTGTAATAATGCAAGAAAGACAAAACATACTCTCGTTTCATTGTGGACATATTAAGCATGTTGATGTAAAGGCTCAAATCATTAACTTTATTTTAATGACTTTATTTTCTTATTGGTTTAGTATGGCACACGGACAAACATCTTTTAGTGTAACCGTTCAGCCAAGCCGTTAGGAGCACTGTTCAGGCAAGGGATACTGGCTGTTGCTATGTTACCTGGCTGCCTCTCTTCAGGCAGGCGGGTGCGGCGGCGGCGACTACGATTACGACGCTGAGATTTTGCCTCTGGGTCATCTAGGGTTTTTAGGTCATCACAAAGAGAAGGGTTTGGGTCTTTAATTGCTGTAGAACCACAAACCTTTTTTTTTGTTTTACCTGCAAAGGCTCCTTTGAGACTTAAATAGTTGTGCTGCAATGCTGCATAATCTGTCCGCTCAAAGACAGCACTGTTAACTCTATTACATTCCTTCTTACGTACTCTTTTCTGACTTATTCTTACTCAGAGCACAGTTTAAAAATTGTGTTTGATGAAGTTGTATAAAATTATCATTTAAAAAAAAAAAAGAAACATTTCTTACCTGTTCCATTTTCGCTGACTGAGGTATTGTCCGACTCGCTCAATCCGTCAATCAGCGTAGCATCTTCGTCTGTTCTGCGCCTTCGAGATCTTCTGCGGCGGTTTGCAGGCAAGTTGGACTCACTGCCATCTGTATCAGCTGTCTGGTCTGTCTCTGTGTTTGTCTCTTGGGCCCCGTAGGCGTTGTTATCCTCATAGTCCCGATGTCCTCCTGAAGAGCCAAGTGAGATCCATAGAAAATGTTACAAATACAGTCAAACAACATAAAGGATCTTTTTCTGTTTTTTTTTTGTCTTTACTAGTATGGACAGTCAAAGTGGGACACACATTCATGTTCAAGTTTAACATCTGAACAACAAATCACAGTGAATCAAGGTGAATGATGTAAATTCATTTTTTGTGTATTCTGCATTGCATGGCAACTCTGTGCCTTTGTGCCTTGTGCAACTCTGCCAGTGTTTCCCCTACCATTACATGGGGGGGGGGGGTTTGTGCCTTTATTGTAGAGATAGGATAGTGGATAGAGTCGGAAATCAGGGAAAGAAGTCGTTTAAGGATACCTTTCCGATAGAAAAGGACAGCTGTCATTAAAAGTAACCCATGAACACCAAGATTCCTTCAAGTGTTTGTGTCGTCGTGTCGCCATGTCGGCTTGTCCCCACCCCCCCAACGCTGTAAACCTAGGGGAAACACTGTCTGCATTGACTTTGTGAATAATAGCAACAAAAATGTCCTATGTTTTGATTTGAGGAGTGAATTTTACCATAGTTGTTGCTGTAGCCTCCTCTTCCTCCTCTCCCCCGTCCTCCAGGTCCTCCTCTGCCTCTACCAGGTCCTGGCCTCCTGCGACCATCTCTTTGTGGCCGTGAGCCTCTCTCCCTCTCCCTGGAAGTCAGAATGCCAATAAATCAGCTTAAATCCATAACAAAAGTATAAACAAACTCTGCGTCTGCGCACAACATAACAGTGAGGCTATCCAACAACCCATGTCTAAACTTTCTAGTCAGACTGTAAAGAATAACCAGCAGGAGAAAGAGGAAATCTTGGCCCGAGCTATTTGATATCAGTTCCAGATCACAATCACATTTGGGTTGGATAAATCACAACTCACCTATCCTGGTCCTCTGCAGCCAGTGACCAGTCACTGAGCTCTTCCCTGCGCTCTGAGTCGGTCTCGGAGGCGTTGGACTGCTCTGAGTTGGTGCCTGGAAAAATAAGCACACATAAAGGTAAGGGTGGATGTAGATATTCTGGAGCATAGCGGGCGTTATCTACACATAATACATTCTTACACGATGGAATTTAAAAGTTGCCTACCATATCCAGTGCTGTAGCTGTGTCCTCTGCGGCCACGCCCTCTGCTATTATAGGAGCGACTGCCATGTAAAGAGGATGAGGAGGCATTAGCACTGCCATCCGTATTATATCCTCCTCTCTCTCCTTTCTCTCCTCTTTCCCTGTCAGATGATCGGTGACTCTGGGTGATCTGACGCAACTGTTCGTCAATCTGCATCCTCTCGAGACGAAGCTGCTCGACCTCCTGGAGGAGAAACGGTAAAGGGGGAATGGTGTGGTAAAGAGGAAGAATATAAGACAAAAGAGACCGCAAGAAAGAGAAAACAAAAATGTGAATTCATTGTGTTCCATTAAATATAAACATCCCTGAAAATGTTTTATTTCCCAGTACTTGATACACATGCATTCTCATCATACACACATCACATTCACTGTGCCTTGTGTTGCTTTTTCTGAATCTTGCTAGGCTGTGTCCCTGTGAACAATCCACAATCTGCCTCAGCTCCTCCTCAAGCTGCTGGTTCTCCACAAGAAGCTCCACCATCTCCTACACGTACACACACAGTGCAAAACAAACACAAGCACACACACACACACACACACACGACAGAGCACCAACACAGCAGCCATAACATGCAAAAAGCACAGGACACACACGTACAAACGTGCAAAGTGCAAAACGTTTACGCTGTGAATTCCACACTGCAGGACAGCAAAGAAAATATCTATTTATGTTACGAGAAGTTTCATTTTTGGGGGGCATTTGCAAGTCACAATGAAGACTGTAAATATAGATCAACAATCGGGTTTCCACAACACGATTGTTTACTTGAGGTTGAAAGAATCTTTCTGTGCAGCTGGATAGTGTTAGAAACTTGTAGTCAATATCTGGCTGATGATGATCAAACTTAAGTCCTGTGTGCTCCTTGCACTCCTGCTCTTTGTGCAGGGGTTTCCTCCTCACCCATCACTATGAATTTGTAGATAATTAAGACAGATATTTTTAGGCTGCATCAAAATGGGCTAAACTTTTTAGCCTAAAAATGTGAATTTGTTAGATTTTCCTGATGCTTCAACAAGCTGTTTTTAACCTACAGAGGTAGGAGAGATCTGAATACTTTTCACCCTGTGGTGAATTTAGTGACCTCAGTAGATTAAACAAATAAAGGACCCCAAAACATCTTTGACTTTTCTCAAAAAATATAACTTTTTTATGTTATTAACAATAGTGTATGACTTTTGATTAAACTAGGAAAACCAGTATTTTAGGCAAGGCAACTGCTTCAATCATGCAATATTTCTGTAATCCTAAAATTGATCTTATATTTATGGCAAACAAAAAAGGGAGTATTAATAGAGATTTGTGAAGGTCTGAGAACCCTTTTTTTTCCGTTTTGTAGGAATATCCTAAGGTACATACTATTCGTCTAATAGAATTTACATTACAGATTGGTTTCATGTATTACCACTTTGAGTTCCGGCACAGCACAAAAGAGGTACTTCTGTTTAGTTTTACAAACTTATTTATAGAGATAAATCAAACATGTCTTTTTTGCAACTTCCACCTGCCTAATTAATTATGCCAGAAAATGGATTAAGAAGCAGCATGTAGTGTATAAAGGAAAATAAAGAATCAGCTAAACAAATCCAAACATGTCTCCAAATCAACCTTTCGTCAACCCAATTCAGCACACAAACACAAACGCGCACACACAGACAGCTATGTATACATACTGTAGATCTCCTTACATTGAGGTAAGAGATGTGGTACTCCAGCAGGACCTGGACGTTGCCAATACTCTCCTTAGTACCGACAAAGGTGAAGGGGACCATTCCCTGTGTCGACAAAACACAAAAAACACAACACACATGTTAGTATGGGGCTGACGTAGACAGAGTGGAAAGAAAAGCTTAAAATTCAATCATACAAAGCAATAAAACTGGATCAGTCTACAAATCAGCTTTATCAGTAGCAGTAAAAGATGTGGCTGTAGCAAGCTTACTTCCTGTCGGGGCTGCTTGTTGTCATTGTCTCCTTCTATCCTGACCCTGACCACGCCCGACTTGTCCACAATCTCCTGGATGACCTTTCCGTTCTTACCGATCACTTTGCCTAGAGTCACAGAGCAGAGAAAAAGATGAGGAGGTGACTAGTAGCCATATGACATATCCTGCATTTTGAGTGTAATGTTATTTTAGTAGGTTCTTTTATGGTGTCAACATACCAACGAGGTTCCTTGGGACCTGGACAGAGTCCTCCAGGAACTCTAAATAGTTCCTGGCCTTTTTCACTGCCTCTGCTGACTGAAAGACAACGCAGCGTTACTTTTTTGTTACTTTTTCAAATTTAGGTTTGACAAACACGAACGCATAACCAACATCTTTATCTTCTGCACACAATAAGGACATTCAGCTCACGACTACAGTCACTCATTGATAAAGAAAATAATTATCAAAACCACGGAAAATAACCAGAAAACCGCACCCCACTGTGAAAAGACACAAATGCACGCTATTCACATTCACAACACTAGTTCCATTATTCAAATAAGATTAAATGTGTCCCAAACATTTGTTTTATTAAAGAATAATGTTAATTGATTACTTTTCTCCATCGTAAAACCAGTCCTTCACCTATACAAAACCCTCCTACCTCTCCATAGATCCTGAAAGTGCCAGTCTCCTCATCCAGCTCGATGGCAGTGACACCTGGAACTTTCCGTGCTTGTTGGATGTTGTTGCCATGGCTGCCGATGGCCAGGCCCATCAGATCTGTTCTTACCGTGAACTCCTCCTGGAAGGATGACACCAGCTGCCTGGAGCTCTGCAAAAACAGAATTTGTATTCTGTTAGTAGCTATTTTTTAACAAGTTAAACATTCAGTTATCAGCGCCTGATTGGTATGGGATTTTTGAGGAAATTACAGATTTTTGAAGAGGACAGATTCTGATAATTGATGACTTTTGTTGTCTTTAGTTTAAGTTTGACCTCTTAAAGGGTACATGCCTATGTGACCAGGTCACGAGTAACGGGACAACCATGAAGATGTTGTTGTTACAGACTGACCTCCAGGTGTTTTGTTGCCTCATGGTTGCGTGACATAAGCAACAGCTTGGTCCTGATGCTGCGCAGGTGCATGTCACTCAGCAAAGACACACGCTTCACTGTCGCCTCATTCATGGACTGTTCACACACAGACAAACAAACGCACACACAGACAGAGAAAAGTAAAACACAAATTAGCATTAGATTAACTCTAGATACTGCTACCTTGACAACTAGAGGAATGGCTGAGTCATCCACTGGACAAACATATCAAGCAGGACATAGTTAAACATATCCTGTAGTAGTGTTGATATAACAATAAATATTCAAATGTAATAACAGAGTGACATCAAGACAGTTACCATAATCACTAGTTGGCTGGTGTCAGGGCAGTATGAGATGCGAAGGGCTCCCACAGCTTTCTTAAATTCCTTATGGGCGTTCTCATTCTGGCATCTGCAAAATAAGAAAAAAAAAGTTCAGAATCCTTTATGCCAACTTGTATTTTCATCTTAAATGAAGCAGAAATGCAGAGCGCTTAAATTACCATAACAATCTTTTTTTTATAAATTCCTATTATCATCCATTATTTGGGGGAAACTAATATCTGAATGATATATTTGTGAAATCATTAGTGTAAATGTTCTGAACATACGCTTCTTGTAGATCCTGAGGAACAGGGACAGTGCACTTGTGAAAGGAGTTCTTGGTGATGGCCTTGTTGGTGTTGATTGGACGCAGACGCTCAAAGGTCACGATCTCATTGTACGTTGCATCGCAGGCTGCATACTCTATCACATAGAACTGAAGAGAAAGACAGGCTCAACTATAGAAGCCAATATATACACAATTGTGAAAAGCAGGATTTCACCTTCAAAGAAATGATCTTTTTACCACGTTAGCTATCTTCACGTAACTCTCAACTTTCAGAAAGTCATCGGGTATAATATTATATCTAGCAGCACAAATTCTTTTCGCATCAATTTCATATCAATTTGAAATTTATCATTTAGAAATTATTTTATTCAGACCAACACTCACATCTCCCTTCATCATGCGGACTTTAGCCAACCACCAACCACAAGGCTCCTGATCATTGGCTCTGGACAAAATCTGTTGGGATGGTGAGACAGAGAAACCGAATGAGAAACAGCGAGAAAGGGGTAAAAACAAGACTTTATGTGTGTGTGTCATCCTCACCTCCACCTCTTCGCCTTCTCCAATGTCCTTCTTGCCGTCGGTGGGCGGTGGCATCCTGACATCATTAAAGGGCACCTGGCGCTCTGGCTGCCAACTAAAAATATTATTAGAATGACTTACCTGGCTGAAACACTGTAGTCCTTAAAAAATCTGGCATGTGTTATAGGAATAGGTAGAATACAGGTGAAAGAGAGACTCACTTGTTCTCAAAGGCAATGGTGAGAGAGTCATCGTGGATATCTTTGACAAAGCCCTGCATGACAGACAGAAACACAGACAGGCGGAGCACATTAGAGCCTGACAGCTGACTGAAATTAAGTGCCACCTGTTTAAGTTACACCGACTCTACTGGACAGAAAATATACACAATGTGCTGACATTTCTCTTCTGTTTCCTCCTTTGTGGTGGATATATAAAAACAAATAAGAGGCATGTAATAGAGGACCATGGTTTTATTAAAAATAAACAAATTTAGAGATAAATACATAACTTTAGCCTATCATCATACTTTTTTTTTGAACAACTGTAACAACTTTAAGTGTTCATGGTAAAAGCAGGGGTTCTTACTCGTCAAATAAAGTCCTGTTGATTTTGTAGAGTAACAGAGACAATTGTTCTGACATCAGACACAGCTGAAGGGTGTTCTGCGTCAAAGATTTTGGCTATAAAACACAAAGCACCATTTAAAGCTTTTGTTTTTGGTTGGCAGAAGGCATCTCAATTCTGGGTAAATAAAAAATTAAACAGCTGCATGACTTCAAGCTAATAGAATAAAGCTAATGAGCTAATAAATAATATACAGTTCAGCAAAAATGTTAATCATTTGATGGATCCAGCTTCAATAGTGTGAGGATAAACTGGGTTATTATGTTCCCTTTTATTGTTGTTGTTTGCTTTTAACATTCATAGATCACACAAGTTATAAGGAAGGAAAATTGGACCAAACTGACAGATTAATCACTAATAAAATACAATGACTACGTACCACATATCCCTAGTTGTAGTTGTTGTTTTTTTTGCTCACTGAGTGTGTACACTTTATAAACCACTGTACTGTATGTGTGTTTTTGCCTGTAGCCCACCACAGAATATTGGTGAACCAAGATGATAAAATTAGTTTAAAAGTCAGTAATACATTTGCACACATAAGCTCTAAAAGTTATTGATCAGTAACAAAGACAAGCCAGAATTTAACCTTTCACACTAATTCAGACGCTTACAAAATATGTTATTTAGAGATGGCCACTTTGCCATCTTCTGTCAGGGTGCGTTGTCAGCTACATAACAAATACATTACATTTTAAAAGGAGCATTGAATCACACCGCCATAGAGCTCAAGCATTCAGCCTAGGCAGCTGACAAGCAGGGAAGTGGACAAAGTGACTCACGAAACAAGGGTTGGGCGGATAAGGAAAGTAACAAGGTCCATATACTTCATGTGAAGTCATCCTACTTTCTACTGGTATTTTATGCAACTTTATTGTTTTCTGACAGCTGAAACCACTTGTTACTTTCAAACGAGATGTTTTGATAAACTTCCCAATTATTTGTTTATATTTACGAATATGTCATTAGTTACTTTCTCATACTTCATTATTATAACATTTATGACTCTAAATACTCTACAGACTGAACTAAAACTCCCTGAACTTATTCCACTTGGAGCTTTCCGTTCTATCTTTAGGGACAGACAGCGTGAGACCACTGAACAGCGCCTGTGTTTTTAAAATCTTAAGTTGTTGTTTTATTGTTGTCACAGCTCCTGCACTTTCTTTTTTATTGAAAACACTATGTTGTTAAGCTATATTGTCACTTAATTGTAACTGTTCTTATGACATGTGCTGCTGACCTCTTGGCTAGGTCACCCTTGTGAAAGAGATCCTGATCTCAATGGGTTCTTTATCTGGTTAAATAAAGGTTAATAATGAAAAAATAATAATAACGATCATACAGTCTAAAAGTGGTGACATTTGCACAACTCTAAACAACTACAGGAATAAAATACAGCATACACTAATGCACTTTTATGTTTAATTCTCTACATATAATAACTTTGACAGGGACCACATTGCTCTACAATGAGCATTTTTACTTTTGGTTATTTCAGTTGACAAGAATAGTCACATACATTTCTTTCACGAAACAAATATGATTTTTCTGAAGGATGGAAGTTAATGGGGAAAGTGAGAAGGCAGAGAAATGAAAATAAGTTAAGAGATGAGGAAAGGAGACACAGGGTAGGAGTTTGAGGAAAGGAGACATATGGTAGAAGTGTGAGGAAAGGAGACACAGGGTAGAAGTGTGAGGAAAGGAGACACAGGGTAAAAGTGTGAGGAAAGGAAACACAGGGTAGAAGAAACACAGGGTGGAGGTGTAGAAGTGTGGGGAAAGGAAACACAGGGTGGAAGTGTGAGGAAAGGAAACACAGGGTGGAAGTGTGAGAAAAGGAAACACAGGGTGGAAGTGTAGAAGTGTGAGGAAAGGAAACACAGGGCGGAAGTGTAGAAGTGAGAGGAAAGGAGACACAGGGTAGAAGTGTGAGGAAAGGAAACACAGGGTAGAAGTGTGAGGAAATGAAACACAGGGTAGAAGGAAACACAGGGTGGAAGTGTGAGGAAAGGAAACACAGGGTAGAAGTGTGAGGAAAGGAAACACAGGGTAGAAGGAAACACAGGGTGGAAGTGTGAGGAAAGGAAACGCAGGGTGGAAGTGTGAGGAAAGGAAACAGGGTAGCAGTGTGAGGAAAGGGGACACAGGGTAGGAGTTGAGGAAGGAGACACAGGGTGGAAGTGTGAGGAAAGGAGACACAGGGTGGAAGTGTGAGGAAAGGAGACACAGGGTAGGAGTTGAGGAAAGGAGAAACAGGGTAGAAGTGTGAGGAAAGGAAACACAGGGTAGAAGGAAACACAGGGTGGAAGTGTGAGGAAAGGTAACGCAGGGTGGAAGTGTGAGGAAAGGAAACAGGGTAGCAGTGTGAAGAAAGGAGACACAGGGTAGGAGTTTGAGGGAAGGAGACACAGGGTAGAAGTGTGGGGAAAGGAGACACAGGGCAGAAGTGTGGGGAAAGGAGACACAGGGTGTGAGGCAAGGAGACACAGGGCATGAGGAAAGGAGACACAGGGTGGAAGTGTGAGGAAAGGAGACACAGGGCGTGAGGAAAGGAGACACAGAGTGGAAGTGTGAGGAAAGGAGACACAGGGCATGAGGAAAGGAGACACAGGACGTGAGGAAAGGAGACACAGGACGTGAGGAAAGGAGACACAGGACGTGAGGAAAGGAGACACAGGACATGAGGAAAGGAGACACAGGGTGTGAGGAAAGGAGACACAGGACATGAGGAAAGGAGACACAGGACGTGAGGAAAGGAGACACAGGACGTGAGGAAAGGAGAAGGGACTGTAACAGGCAGCAGGTCTACAAATAGCTCTTTAAGTCTGAGGTATCAGTGACCCTCTTCTCTGACATGCCAGCTGGTCAGGACTGAAGGGAACAGGACTGAAGGGAACAGCTGAGGACTGAAGGGAACAGGACTGAAGGGAACAGGACTGAAGGGAACAGCTGGCTCACAAACACACACAGAAAATAACTTGTGCATGAAGAAGTGTCAGATTATAGACCTGCTCTGTGTAGGTGTGTCTATGTGTCTCCTATATGACACATTTATAACACCGAATGATCCATATTAAATGATTTCAACCCTCTAATGACTGAATACATATTATTTATTAAATGTTGTTTACAAACTGAACATGACATATTATTTATTAAATGTTGTTTACAAACTGAACATATTATTTATTAAATGTTGTTTACAAACTGAACATGAAGCCAAACATCATTTCATTAAATATCTTCTGACGTCAACAGTCAACTCGGAGAATAGCTAACTTAGCTAACTTTTAGCTCGGTGAAGCTACAACCGAACATCAATATAGACTAAAAACAAAACAGCTTATGTCGCTTTTATGTTGTAAACATCAGTATTATCGTGTGTCTTACATTATTTTAGTGGAAAGAAAGGTTGATAAAAAAAAAAAAGTGACGAGACGACAGAAGTGGCGACGTTAGCCTAGCGTGCTAACTGTGGCTAGCAATGCTACAACAGGCTAACAGCAGGCAGTTACCGGGGTCCAGGTCGAGCAGGAAACCCCGTTAAAGTTGGTCAATGACACCTTGAATACAAATTATGGTGTCGCGTAACACTCCGTCGTGTTTGATTCTGTGTTGATAAGCAGGTATTTACCTTGTAATAAGCCCCGTTGGAGCCACGGACCTCCACCGCCAGTTCCTCCATATTGGACACGCAAAGCATGCTGGGACGACAGGTGCTCCTAAAGGCATCCTGAGACAACAGCTCCATGGTAGTGTTGACTGCTTACTGTCAGAGCTACAATCATCTATAAATACTGACTTAGAGACACATTTGAGGTGCTTTTTGCTTGTTTATCTTCTCATCATTTCACTTCTTTTTTCTGCTCCACTGAGGCAAATTGAGTGTTTTTAACTGAAGCTCATTGGTGGACTGTTTAGGCCTACATGTACTCCAGTAGGCCTTCTGTCCTTAAATCAACATTGTAGGTAGGCCTACGTTTATTTTTTTTAGTATTTCAGTGTCATGACACTCTACTGCATCAGAACCTTTCAGGTGCAAGACACACCTGCACTACACAAAACACTACCCACATGACCTGCTTCATTATTATCACTGTATTATTGTATTATTATTATTATTTAGGTCAATATATATATATATACATATATACTGTACATTCTATATATTTTATTAAATTATTATACTAGTCTATATTATATAACATTTCATTATATTACACTATATTGTTCATATTGCACTATATTATATTATATTATATTATACTACATTATATTATATAACGGCACTCTGCATTACTGTGGTACAACACTGCCTCTCTCCTCTGCTGTTTACATTACTTGCTGCTATTTTTTTGTCACTATATCTTGTTTGAAAATATATCGATATATCTTAAAAACTCGATATATTTCCCAGCCCTAATCTATACCGAGTATAGATACTAGGGTTTAAAAAGACTTCTGTAGAAGTTGAAGTATCAACTCAAGCTTTTTACTTAAAGTGTAAACGTTCTGGTTTCAAAACTACTTAAAGTATAAAAGTAAAAGTAATGTAAGGGGAAAAAAATGCCATTAAGGACAAAAGCTTAAAAGCTAAAGGCCCCGAAAGGCCACAGGGGTCTATAGTGCTCTACAGCACCTCCCCAAAGAAAAATTTTTCTAAAGGCCGTAATGACTTTAATGTTATATTAAAATGTTCATGTTGAAAAGTTTGGGATGCACCTGTTTCAGCCACATTTATGCCCATAGAAAATGTACACATTTTAGTACAATGCAAATACATGAATGAACCATATATGTGTTTCATGGAGTGGAAGATATGATGACTAGTTGTAGTATTGTAATGGAGCAAAAAGTCAAACTTCAGAGGCATGTTATCAATAGCCTTTATTGGAATGTAAATGTACAAACTTGGGACATTTCGCTCGAGTCTCGAGGAGACTTTTGTCCTTTTGGGATTGAGTTACTATAATACAAATGGTTTGACTGGTAAAGGAATAGATTTAAAACAACAGTGAGCGATGTTTTTCAGTGAGAGATTTCTAACATAAGGTTTATTGCTTAGATTTGTAGACTCCTTAAAATTTGGTGGTGCACTTTCTTTCCTGAGTCTCTGCCACAGACATCTTCGTACTAGGCTACATACGTCTGCTATTTCCTTGCTGGAGTTTGACGTGATTTGTGTCATGTGCAGGTGTGATGGATCGTGTACAAACCAATAGGGTGTCAGAATGATATATGTTTATACTTCTCATCTAACCACAATCAAATTCACTTCCATCTGGATGGTGCGATTTATCTGGATAGGTTTTTTTGAACGATGACAAGCCAAATTGAAATAGGAGTAACGAGGCTATTTTTAAAATGTAAGGAGTAGAAGTAAGAAGTCGGCTGAAAAAGAATTACTCCAGTAAAGTATAGATACACAAAATTTCTACTTAAGTAAGATAACGAAGTATTTGTACTTCGTTACTTGACACCTCTGAAGAGGACACACATTTCCCTAAACAAAGGAGGGAGGGAGAAGGGGATACAGAAATGAAAACATTTTAGTCCTAAATGAAGTAAACATTTTCACATTGAAGATGAGCAGTCCAGATATAAATAAAAACAGCAGTATCAATGTGTATAATTTGTTTTGTATAAGGTTATGGATGATGTATGATGTCAGTCTATATGGGCCTACACACATTTCCTCATCGTGTTAATAGGAAAACATTTTATAATAGCAGGTAGGTAGATGGAAATTTTCATCAATTTATAACTAAATGAAATACATTTGCAGAAAGGTGCGACTATACTACTGCTGTCCAAAGTACTGTTAAGAAAATACATGTGTAAGATCAATGAATTAATAATAAACTGTAATAATATAACAGCTGAGAATTTCTCTTTATAATGACTTTATGCTTACTTTTGACGCTTGAAGAACTCTAAACTCTTATTCTTCAATGTTGTCTTTATGTTTGTAAAGACTTGTATTATTTGTTCAGTATACATAAAGATAGTAGTATTTCTACTTTGTATTGAGTATGCTTGCTGCTTTGAGTAAAGAATGCTTGCTGCTAACAGACAATAAGTAAGGTATTTTACCTGCTTTTTGTAAAGTGTCTCGAGATAACACTTGTTATGAGTTGACGCTATACAAATAAAAATTGATTGAATGATTGAATTGAAAGATGTAACACTTCCTCCACCAAAGCCAAACAGTTAATTAACAACATGTTTGATTTGAAAGGGGAAACAGCAGGATGATATTTTGCTCAGTTGGAGTGCCCCTTGTTTTGAACTGCTTTAATCTCATGAACCCGGCACACATGGACACTATACGTTTTATAAAGTGTCCACAAGATAATGTTATAGTTAGCATTCTGTAATTGTTAAAAACATTATTAAAACACTGGTGTGTGCAAATCTTGTTTTTCCAACTTGTGTTTTATGACTTTATCTTTATTTGAGTAAAAATATCTACCTAAGGTTCAGTCACTCTCAAACTTAAGACCCAGATGGACCTGCAGTGTTAAACCTCACAACACATTTTAAAATGAGGCTTTCCATCTGATGAGATACAATGAGCTGTGAAAAAAATGGAAAATGTCTGTATTTACAAAGATGGTTACAGGAATCATCCTTCATTCTGATACAGTTAAAAGCATGTTGTTTTTAAACAGGTCGATAAAGAAGAACACATCTGGGTAAGATAATAGAAGTTTTCTTATGGGATGATTTCTGTAGGCTCAATTTTATACTTGTACATTTAGTCCACAGTTTAAAGAAAATGTATACATAAATGACTTATACGGTGTATACAGTCACTCCTGCTCTGTTCTGATTGGATCTATCTTTCAGCATGATGTATCCACAGGTTAACTCATTCAGATTCATTTGACTAAAGTTTATTACTTCCTGTAATAAAGTGAGATGTAAATATAAAAAGTATTCACCACACTCATCGTTGTTAATCGGACACATTAAAGGACCAGTGTGTCGAATGAATTGCCATCTAGTGGTGAGGTTGCATATTGCACAGAGGAACTTATGATCCCTATATGAAACTCTTGAGCCGGTGTTTTGTTTGTCCATTCTGGGCTGCGGTAAACATTGTAGCAGAACATAACGGACCGCGTAAAAGAGCACAAACTCTTCGTTTAGATATTCAGTATACTACAGAAAGCTCTAACAATAAGGCAAAATTAAATTTAAAGTGCTCATGATGGATTAAGCCAGGTCTTTATAATAAAGCATTAAGTAAGGTCTTTTACCTGCTTTTTGTAAAGCGTCTCTAGATAACACTTGTTATGAGTTGATCCTATAAAGGATAGCTAAAGATTGATCACTGATAGATTGACATTTCTGCAGACCCCACCCCAGTATTACAAATTGTAATCAGAATTTAAAAAACAAGAACAGAAAAATATCCAACTGTCAACAGGAAATGACATACTGTGTTGAGTTTTTCATTCATTTTACAAGGTCCTGTTTCCTACTATGACAAGGAAACACTTGGGCTTAAAAATATAATAGAAAAACAGAATTATATACTTCATATTCAAATCTATTCTAATTGGCTCGCTTCACATATTAAAGCAGGTCTTCATATACAGATGAAAATGTGATAAACTGTTCAATCTTTTAAATACAAAGCCGACATTTTCAAAACTCAAACGTCCCAAAAGAGAAAATTTTTATGTCTTAAATTACTTGACTCAAAATATCTCCACCTATAGCTTTAATTAAAATAAACATGACCCTCCATTCATTAAAAAAATGCAGCTTATGAATAGTTGAAGATACTTTGATTATTCAAAAAGCCTAAGATATTTGTCGTTCATTTTTGACAAGTTCTTATACGCGGCTGCTTCAAGGCAAACACACATCAGACTGCACGCTGAGGAGCAGTCACTGAAACAGAAAGCAGACGCTGCCTCGTCTCTTTGAAACAACCACTGTGACACCTAGTGGCCAACAGTTCGCCTCCTGTGGGACTGTTGCTGCTGTTTATCAGATAGTTATTATCTGATTTAGCTCCACCGTGAGCCTGCATACCAGCGTTACACCACAAAGCTCAAAGGCACACGAGGAACATCTTTACATTCAAGCCAAAGCCAGGCTTGGAAATAAAGCAATACTGGCATTTTAGAAGAGGAAATAATTCAAGCAGATGTAACATGAAGTTGAGAACGGTCAAGTTTGGCTTTAAAAAAGATTAAAAGATGTCGTGGGTTTGGAACAATTAATGCAACATCTGCGCAGTCTTGAAAATAAAATATTCACTCATGCAGAAAAACATGCAGATATTTCCAAAGCAACGTCTCGACACCAAAATAAAAAAAACCTAAAGATTGAAGTATTTATCATCCCAGGTGGAACAGATACATGTTAATGTTACAAACAACAACCATTTGAGTTCGTTTTACTTGGTGATGCTGTTTTACGTTTTAGCAGATACCTTCTTTCCTATGATCGATTGATAATTATCGTCTCCATGGCAAACATTTTCAAGTATTTAAAAACATCAGTTAAGTCAAAAACTTCCTCAAGGAACTGGATTCTCATAAAATACTCTATGATTGCTGGTATCAGTCGTTTTTCTTTGCATTTTCTGTTCTTATGGTTTATACAGGATCAAAAATCATCATTTGCTACAAAGACAGTCATCAGTTGTTATGTCATTTACAAACAGAAAAATGTGCAAAAGAGT